GTTATTCCAAGTGGCGATCATTTGTATATGGCAGTTGCAACACTCATTAAGATCAAGATGCAGATCAATAACAAAAGCGCTCGGACTCATGTTTCTCCTGTAAAAGCAAACTGTACATAGGTTCTCTCCACCTTGAACCTCTTTTTAGATCCGTAGTAAATCTTTCTACCCTATGGCTTATGACCACAATCATTCATCCCTCGACAAATACCCGACAATCAAATACGTGCTCTGTACGCCTGCGCTTCGAAGCATATGCACAGACAATTACCCCTTAAAAAGCTAATTCTTCTATTCGAATCCTCACAAAACTTATACACAGCGCTAGTAACATGGGTGCGCCGCCACTCCTAACATGCTGAAAAACAAGCAGGACCATCAAGGCACTGGTAAGCAGAGTCAGAATAGAACTACTGAAAAGAGGAAAGACGGCACACTATTCGTGAGATTACATCCCGATAGTGCTTTTCGGGGGTCTTCAGGCTGCGCCTTGTAAACACATCTGAAAGCCAAATTTGGAGATAAAGAAACCTTCTCGGCAATATTCTAGCGAAAAATACCGGATTTGTTCTATGCCATAGCATAGGTAAGATTGGTGCTCTCGCAGAAAAGCTAAATATAGCAGGCTTCTTTGGTATTTCGGTTACACTACAAGTCAAGCATAAAGAAGTGGAGTTATATTCCAGGCTACTGTCTCGGCCCTAAGGAATATCTGATGCTCGCGCTGAGACACCCGAAGAGGTTCCGTGTCAATAATTATTACACGGTAATGTCGTGTCAGGTCGTGACCAGTCGTATGTCTCGCGAATATACAGCTGCCGAGGGAAGAGCCGCGTACAGGACGTCTAGTCATACGAACACTCTAATTAAGGGCATATATGTAACTTTCTAGTGTCATGTGTGATTTGATCTAAAACTGTATATAGAAACTAGAGCTAGTAGAAATTTGGTTAAATGACTAAAGAACAGTTATAGTAATGGTTTTATGTGGACACGATCTGGATGATTGGAAAAAAAGGCATCACCCAGAGAATATATCATAACCAGTTTTACTCAATCATCTTCTTGATAATTTGTACCTTTTTCTATATAACTCAAATAAATCTACCTTTAGGAGTCAAATCTTTTACACGACTTAGAAACCAATTTTCATCTCCGTCAGCATACGATACATAAGTCAAACATTTGAAGATGTCCCAGTCGAGAAGGTTTTCCCCTGGACGTCATGTAGGATCGAGAATGTCCCAGGCAAATTCGGCGCGATGAATGATACGTTCTAGTATTGCTTTCAACTGGTGATTTCCGAAGCAGCAACCGGCACCAAGCTGACCGACGTCCAGCCCTCTCGAGATAACGAGCTGAATGCACACGCCTCTTCATCCACTTGGATTGTCGGCTTCCCTGACGAATGTAATCGCCTACCTCACATCCTATGCCTCTTCGGCCACAGTGTCATAGAGCAGCTCTGTGATATTGTGTTGCACCTGGCCAACCGCCCCATGAGTACACTCAGGAATAGGGTTAGTGCGTTGCGATGGTTATAGTGCTGTGATAGCAACATTCACTAGTCAAGATACTGATCAGTTGCTATGTAATAGCTGTGGGCTATTGCACCCTTGATTGTAGTGACTGGTCTCAGGTACTTGAGGAAGTTCTTGTGCCGTGTTTGCACTGTAGCTTTTTGTCTTGCATTTTATCTACATCCTAGAATCTCGTCTTTGTCCTGGTCTTCGTCTACATCTCGCCCTCGTCTCAGTCTCCAGCTCAGTCCTCCTCATAAGTCTCCTATCTTCTGACCCCTGAAATACAGAGTATCCGCTCGAATGCTGCGTCGCCGCCTCGCGACGATTCAATGCTCTAAATGCTGGATCTAGCACAATAGTCGGGCCTGCGTGGCTACTTTGAGGTGCAGTCTTTGCGGCTCGTCCCAGCACTTGAAAGAGAACTACACTAATCTGTGTATAGCTACTGGTGAATATATCTGCCCGGCTTAATGTGTCCATTGTCATGGCCCTCACTCCGTAGACGATCTACACGGTATCCGACGTCCGAAAAACTCGGGAGCTCGCATGCCTAATGGTCAAGTGAGCGCAATCCGAAAAATCTGTGGCGAAGCCGGCGGTATCAGTGAAACAATAGCAAACGACTATTTAGCCTCTAGGACAAACTCCAAAATAATCATGACTAACGAGCAAGCCCCATCCCCCGCGCTGGGCCATGGCCATATCCTGCGAACAACCACTCGTCTCCTTTGGGAAAGGTTTCCAAGTGCCTACGACCACATAATCCACTAGAGGCTGTCGTAGACGAGGAAGCGCCGAGCGCTGATAATATGCAGCTGCAGCGTGTCCCAAATCCCCATGCGAAAAGCCGTCAGAAGCGTCAACAATCTTCTCAATAAACGCAGGCAGAAGCCGCATGGCTCATGAAATTGCTCCATATCAGTCCTATATACACTAAATAGACATCATTTTTATTCATGCACCACACGTCTCGCGCGACCTCTCTCGGCCGACGACTCGTCGTCAGCTCGGCCACGCCTAATAGCCTACGTGCGTAATGAGCGTAGCCACTCAATCCGAACAGATCCGAGCGGAAATCTCGCCCAGATTTTTATTCGTCCGTCTAACGTCATCATGGAGATAGACCTTAGCCATGGTCAACGCATGCACTGCGCCGTCTGGATCGCAGGGGGGTAGGTAACGCAGGCAGAATTTTGATTTCCACCATGCGAGTCCCACTCGCGGACAACCCTATCCTCCCAGGAGATTTCAATCTACTTCATATTAGATGAAGGGCCTTCGTCAGAAATTACCCATCTCCCGGAGCCGAGCAGTTGGTGGAAGGGCTAGATTCAGTCCCTCTCACTCTACTCTCCCCTCGCGACAAAGCCACTCACAAAGGCGGCAACTTCTTCGACCTCGCTTTTGGATGCGGCTGCATAGTAGATTACGCAGCATGCGGCATCGCCAAGCACCAACAGCGACATTGGACCATTTGCCTATCTTGACTACGGAAGTCTGGAAACATTCTCCTGGGACCCCAGAGCGCCTCTGACCTAATCCAATGATCCTGTCTATATTTCAGAGACTGTGGGAAATCGGGCTAAATGGCATTGGAAACCATGCCTTCACTCCACTCTCGGAGGATTCTAGATAAAGAAGCGGAGTTCGTCATACAGCTAATACACGACGCCTACTGTGGTGCTGCAAAGCGTGGTCTAGGCGCAGATCACGGTAAGCCTAGGTGGAATACAGCATGTAATGACGCTAGGAAATAGTCGAAGTAGGCTATGTGTACACGAACTACCCACGACAAATGGGCAAGGCAAATGACACCTTTTTACCTCGAAATTAGAGAATTCCCGCACTACCAAGGAAGTCCTGGGACTAAGAGGGCGCCATGAATACTCAGAAAAGTATCGCTCGAGGCGGCGAAAGGACGCGCGATTCCCTGACCGCCCTCTGGCTCATAGGCTTGCAGGTAAAATGCACGTACTTATTCGGAATTTGTTAGCAAATTCATCTACAGTGGGGGATACTGCTGTGCTCATGATAGCCAGGATTACGATGCACAAGGGCAGTGATCACTGAGAGAGAAGAAACACCTCTCCAGGCGATTCTGTCATGAGTTGCGGAACAATGGAGCACTGTATGGAAAGTATTCTTGGATAATACTACCAGATGGAGGATACTAGAATTTTCCGTCATCATATTTTGGGGAAAAAAGGCGAGAGTCTAGCTACCTCAGATATGTATTCAAGTAGCATTTTCTACCTCCAAAGTCCTCACAGTTCTGAACAACAAACGATCAGCAGTTAATATTGATTTATCGATAATCATCCCTAGACACTCCGTCACGTATCTAGGTGTCTGAGCTATGGCAGGCGAAGTGTATTTGAGATTGAAAAGGTTAACTCAGTAAGAAGAAGCTGATTCTATTTTCCCGGAACTACAGGTCTATATATACAAATGACTGTGAGCCTAAGGAAAATAAAAGACTTGAACATCCAACTAATTTAAGGTCATTCTTATTGAATGATGTTGAGTTAAAAATGTAATTTGCCTAAAATAGCTTTGGTAGATTGCGAGGCTGAGTATACCTAAACTTAGCCCTTAATCGCAACAATACATACGAGTAAGCTCTCGTGTGGTTCTCATCAATCAGTCTATGTTGAATGATCTTGGCTGTAACCTCTTCTCTCAATCTATTCTAATACTTATACGCATAACAAATAACTTATTCGACAGGATACCCCTAGAGGTTATCAGTTGACGAAGCACTGCTGACTTATTCATTACTAACCGCTTAATCTGGCACACCTAATATACGTAATTCAAAGATAGAGCTCTCTAGTTAAATTTATCACCTTTTAAAACTTGAGCTCTTACTTTCCATAGTTTGCGTATCATAATAAATAGTGCAGAGTGTCCATGAAATGGAATTCGCCGAATGCGTTTCTAGGAGTCTGGCACGTATTTTCGTTACATGTCGGAATGGTAGATATAATGTACTCTAGCGGCAATCAGAGTGGAAGTAGTAGTGAAGAAACTTTATGATATTTGTTACCTAGCTCTATTTTTGTTTTTTTGCTTATATCTCAATGTAATGCCTGCTTCACACTCCTGAAATTTAAGCCTGATGAGACGTCGACACCATGAGGTATTTCTCACGACTCTCCTAATTTGAATCAGTCCGAACTCGTCGGGACTGTTCTCCATTATGTAATTTGTAGCTGAGATGATCGCCAACGCATTGAAATGCTTATACAACAACACGCCGCACAAAAGCTTGCCCCAAACTTTTGGGGCTATCAATCCATCAATACCTTAGAACTATAAGTTCTTTTAAAAGTTAGCTTACAACCGTGAAAATCATGTACTCAGCACCATGATTATCCCTCGGGAAATAGGTATTATCTTCATTATTATTACCCTACTTGAAAATTATCTACGCCTTGCTCCGCCTATATTTTACCCTTCAAATTCATATTTCTCGGCTTATTCCTCGTCCATGACAAAATCTGCCTCGCCAATACCACTCTTATCACACAAGCTTTTGAAAATTCCTCCCTTTTTCCATAATTTCCGAGGTGTATCAAACTCTGCGACGCTTCCGTGTTCCAAAACGCAGATACGATCATAATTAAGAATAGTTTTAAGCCGATGCGCAATACATAACAGTGTTTTACCTTTGAAAACAGTTGCGATGGTCTGCTGAATCTTCTTGTCAGTCTCAATATCAACACTACTGGTAGCTTCGTCACAGATAACAATTCGGGCGTCGTGAACTAATGCCCGGGCAAGGGCCATAAGTTGACGCTGTCCGAGCGAAAAGTTGAGTCCTTCATCCTCGACTAAGCTATCAAGGTGAATTCGGCCGGTATTTCTATCTTCTAGCCCTGGTAAGTGAGCTACAAGAGCAGATTGATAGAGGGCCGACCAAAGTTTATGATCTATGTGTTGACCAAAAGGATCGAGGTTTGATCGAATAGTGCCTTTGAAAAGGGTTGGATCTTGGGGAATAATCGCAAGGCGGGATCGCAAGTCATGAAGACCAATAGAAGAAATATCCAAACCATCAATGGTAATTCGACCGGCCGAAAGCTCTACCAACCGGAAAAGTGTAATCATAATACTTGATTTACCTGCACCAGTGCGTCCCACCACCCCTATATGCTCGCCACCTCGAATGCACATACTTAAGCCTGAGAGTATTAAAGGAAGATGGGGCCGGTATCGCATTTGAACATTATCGAAGCGGATTTCCCCAGACTCGGGCCAAGTTTTCCGAACGGTAACAGTGTGAAGCGGCGCCTCTTCTTCGAGAGATGTGCCATAGTAGTGAAGACGTTCGGTAGCATTCATCCCATTCTCAACTTCTGCTAGTTGACGAATGGTAAATTGAATCATTTGGGCAATTGAAAGAGTATAGCTAAGTATGAGTCCAGCTATTGATGGTCTGATATGAAATCTTGATGATACAATCAAAGCGCCCGCTACCAAGATGAGAAAATTTCCAATGATATCTAGACGAGTTGATAGCCATCGTTGATTGGCAAAGGTTAAGTAGTAAGCACTATTCATATTGTCAATCGACGCTTGTAATCCCTCAAAAAATTGAGTCTGAGTGCCATATGCACGTATGCAAGCTATGCCGGAAAGTCCCTCACTAAATTTGGCGAAGACATGAGAGCGGAGGACGGCTTCGATGCGCTTCAATTCTCGAGATGATGCCCTATAGTATCTCGATGAGAAAATAAGAAGCAGGAAGAGAGGCACGAGTGCGACGGCAAAAAAGTGAAAATAGGCAATAGTAAGACCAAAGATAGTTAGGATCATAACTAGCGTCAATGAATATAAGCGTAAAGAGTCTGGAAGCTCATTATCCATAACATCGACATCACGAGAGAAACGATTGGTAATACGACCGAGCGGCGTGGTATCAAAGAAAGACATGGGAGCCCGCAAAGTGCGAACAATAGCACGACTCATCATTGTCTTACTAGCAACCGTACCCATCAAAGTTAGGGTTAGGGAAAAGGAGAATACGAGGAAGGCTTGTGTGAAGCCAAGTGCAACATAGACTCCAATGTAGATGTTCTTTGAGTAGCCAAGGTCTGGAAGCAGTTAGAGTTAGTTTCTCGTTTCCAAAGCGAGACACTTACGGTCACTAGCCCACCAGGACAGCCATAAGCTAGTTGCAATATTAGAGCCTTGAGAGGCGATAAGAAAGATTAGGGCAATGGGTGCATTAAAAATACTTCCAGAAGCTCGAATGTACTCATAGTAGACAGACCAAGGAACACTATCCAAAGATCTTTCCTCTGCTTGCATTAATTTCATACCGTTGGACTTCTTCGTTAGTTGTGTATCTTCGCCAACTGTAGACTCATTGCTAGATTTTTTCCCCTCTTGACCAACCGAAGCGTTATCCATTAACAGGTGAAATCCATTATTTTCTCGAATAAGATTATCGAAGCTATCAATGGCTCGAATCTGGCCATCTTCCATCCAAATCACTCGATCGCATTTACTTAGAGCCCAAAGTTGATGAGTAACGAGAATCCGGGATTTGTGTTTCATCAGCTTTAAAATGGCTACTTCAAAGATGTGTCGGCCGACGTGTGCGTCAACTGCAGAAAGAGGGTCATCCATAAGAATAAGTCCAGCATCAAAATAAATGGCTCGAGCAATATTTATTCTTTGTCGTTGGCCACCGGAAACTGTGATGCCACGTTCGCCAACCTCGGTTCTATCACCTTGTGGGAGCATTTCAAGGTCCGGTCGTAGAGCACAAGCATCAATGACCTGGTTATACCTAGCCACAATTAGCAGAACATCATAATAAAGTCGCATAAACCTGCCAATCATAATTCATTTTCTTCCCGAACAAAATATTATCTCTGACCGTCGCATTCTGTATCCACGCGTATTGTGGGCAAAATGCTCTATTGGCACCTAGCCTCATATTGCCCCTGGTTTGGCGCATATCCCCTGCTAAGGCTGCTAGTAACGAGCTTTTTCCACTGCCCACGGCCCCGATGACAGCGACCAACTCGTTCCTTCCAACCGTAAAGTCTATATCACACAGCTTGAATGGACCCTCGTCGCCAACTAAAGTGCTTCCGTATTCAGGTGTTGTATTATGGAAAGGCTTTTTCTCGACATTTCTAGAGACGTCTTCGGCATCTCTTGGCGAAGAGATGCTCGACCTCTCAAACTTGTTTATGATAACGTGCTGATCTGCTTGCTTAGATTCCTCAGAGTAAATCTTTTCCCAGGTGAAGTTGGCGTTGATAACTTCAACGGCACTATCGGCCTCAACATCAATGGGTGCAATCTTTTCCATCTCCTCGCTTAATAGGTACTCCTGGATACGACTGATCGAAGACCAGGCGTCAGTTGTCTGACCTATGACCACGGGAAGCAAGTTGAGCGGCATACGAAGAGAATTGAAGAGGGCGAGAGATGAGAACACCTTTGCTGGCTCTAATTTATGGTTCGTGAGCGAGTAGGTGATGAAGGCAAGCATTGAAGCGAATATCGGCAGTGACATGGAAGTGGTATTGAGCGCGTTTCGTATGGATAATAATATCTGAATCGCGTGAATCTCCCGATTTCTGATGCGTTGAAGTTGATTCAAGAAAGCACATTCCCAACTAAACAACTTTACAAATCGAACTGCTTGAAGAATTTCCTGGGTAAGGCTGATCCGCTGATCCGTTATTCGGTTGATTCGCTTACGACGTGCAAGTAAACACTTGACGACTTCTGTCATAGCCGGCAACCCGATGATCAGCAAGCTGAAGCCAGCTACAGCACTATAGCCCAGATTGATGACCAAAAAGACCAGAGTTAATATACAAGCAATAGGCGCTGTCCAAATTAAGTGAAATAGTACCGATGCCTGGTCAACTCGATAGGAATCGACTGACATGAGGTTCATCACCTTTCCATTTCCCCACGCATGTCTTTCATTTGTTCTTTCCTTTCCATGATCACGAGGAGATTTGGGATTCTCCGCAGTTTCCTCGGCCCCTTTATCATGGGTTTCCGATTCCATTGATTTACCACCAGCCTTGGCGCGAGGGGAGATTTTCATAGCTTTTTCAAAAATGAGCGAGATTAGTGCGGCTCGTGCTTCTCCTCCAACAGTCATACCGCGGTAGATGAAGTGATTAGTCTGTAAACTCTGAACCATTTGCATCAAGGTAATTCCAAAGACAAGTCCTAGCCCGATACCTATAGAAGGAGCAGGATTTCCGTTACTCTGAGCATCCGATGTTCTTTGCGAAAACTGAATGAGATATTTCAAGATGAAGGGCGAAGTAGCCTGAATCAGACTAGCTGAGAGTTGACAAATGGCACCAACCAAAAATTCGGTCCTGAAGGTTTCGTAGAGAGCAAAGAGTAGTGGGTACTTGTCTCCCCTTGCTACTCGTTTTCCAAAGGAAAGTTCGAGCTTCGATGTTAGGAGGCGGGTTGCTCGTTGAGGGTTAACGGACCAAAGATCATTCTCCTGAAGTTGACGTTTGTAGCCTAGCTAAGCGTGCGCGTCAGCATATCATGCTACTGGCCTTTGTATATCTTTCAGCCTACCTTGATGAGAGGGGTCATCCATTGGAAGTAGAGAAGACTAAAGAATCCAGCCGTAAACTCTCGTGACGCGGCCTTTTCCTGCGGAACAGCCGGTATTTTGCCACGACGTAGTAGATTTAGGCGCATTAGCCATGATTTCTTCTTCTCCGAAATCTCCTGAGGTGCAGATGTAGGCACAGAGCTGTGGGCAGTTGAGTGGCTTCTGGTCCAAAGTGTCGGATGAGGATCTGTGATGCTGGCTTCTCTCTCTGGTTCGGGAGAGTTTCTTCTGATATTATCCACGATGATGCATTCATCTTGCTCGGTGGAGTCTAGCGATGCGTCGTTGAGAATCTTTCTACACTCAGTCACTAAATATGGAGATTGGGCGTGATCTCCGAAAGACGCAGCCATGATGTTGCCTGTAAGACTGGAAGAGATGACCTGGGTTATATGGCTCCATAATATGACGAAGAGAGACTATCGTCCCAATACGCAAAGAGATGGCACGGTAAGAAAAGCGTGTTACTCACGACAAATCTTGGCCACACTGAGACTTCACAAACCTGCCCTTACACAGCGATTTGAGCGCTGTGCTGTTAAGCTCTATGATCGGAACAAGCCATAAATATGATGATGATTAGATTGCGAAAAGGTTGCGCCCCCAATGTCCATGTTGGCTATTTCCACTCTGAAAAGTTGTGATTGAGCGCATGCTAGTAAGCCACAAACGCAATGAGGGGATTCACTGTTCTTTTGGACTGACACAAGCGAGAGGCGTGCGAGCCGGTGGCTACATGTGAATCAAGCTATATTTCGCCAGTCATCACTCAACTAATTCCCATCTGCCACATTCCTTCTGGACCACTCCGATCAGGTGATTTTTCTATCGAACGATGCACACGTAAACCGCGACTTTGTGGCTGCGGCGGTAACGAACTTTCACGCGCAGAGGAGAGTGTGGTCGCATGTGGAGTTTCGCATTGGAATACGTGGCGATGGGGGCGGCACGCCAACAACTGTATAAGGAAATTCCTTGTACAAGAAATGCTTTTTCAGATGGATAAAAGGCAGTGTGCCGGCCACTCCCTGATATTGTTCAGCGGGTCGGGTAGCTGCATTCTCTAGACCATTTTACAAGATAAGATGCGAGTAGTAGTTACTCCATATTTGACTAGCCTCGTGCGGCCATGGGAAGACTATATTCTACATTGTGTACATTTATCGACAGTTTCCCCCAATCTTAATTACCTCCAGTCCCGTGACGAATCTCATTCAGCGTCCGGCCCTTCGACTTGCAAATTTTCATACTCAGTAAGATACATCTAGCTAGGCCCAACGTTATGTGTAGCTCTGCTCTTCCTAACCTGTCAGTCACGTACAAAAGTTCATGGAGATAATCGACCTGCATGATCAAATTTGTCAGCAACCATTGAAGGCCCTGAAGCTTAGACTCTGAAATCATCCCAAAAGACTTGATATGGTAGGTAATATGTTTGACCAATTTTTACATATGCCGATATCCTGGGGGGAATTGGAGGTTTACACGCTTTCATTTTTCAAATTTTGATGTGAGTGCTTTCCTTATTTCCTCAGATGACGTAGGAATCTAGCCTGCCGTGCGTGATGTGATTGACTAAGCGACTGAATATATTTCTTCACTGCCGTTCTCTCTGCAGGAAAGTCTCAATGACGTATGGCGTGAGACAATGACCAGTAGTACTTTCGACCAATTTAGTGAAATCTCTCTTTTACGTCAATTGAACATGAGTGTTTCTGTTGCATACTAGAAGTTTGAATCTAACCCCCGTGGTGGGATACTGAAAAGAGCGGATTCGATAGCTCTATTGTCGTGTAGAGCGGCGGATGACCCATAGGATCGAGATGGCCGGGATGGCATGGATGATGTGGTTGCGATCTGGTTTTCATCAACGAGAAAAGTGTTCAGGACGACAGAGTTTTACGGTAACACCATTGAGATATGCGTACACTAGGTTCGTCAAAGAGCTTGGTTACGATTTCTGCCAGCCATAATGTAAAAGGAAGGAGTATGAAGAGATGAGGAATTATGAAGCGAAGTTCCATGCCTAAAGGTCCAGCACGCGAGATAGGGTACAGGTTTAACCAGCTCTTGAGCCCTTCAATATTATCAGTCCGGGTCCAACCTACGGCCAGGTAGACGCGATCACCCAGGGTCCAGAGCACTGGTCCGTGCACGAGGTAGAGAGCAAACGAAATGCGGCCGAGATACTGACAGAATCTAGTTTCAAAGAATGCTTTTAGCCACGGGATCCTAGGAATGGAAATGACAAGAAATGCCGATGCCCAGAATAGGTAGAACCATTTAAAGTCCAACGTTGTTTCGGGAGTCAGGTAAGATAGGTAGTGCCATCCAGGCGATCTTCGTAGCGATGGTATATCATTGTGGAGAGATGGTACACCGCTGAGGTACATGCCAATTCCAAAGATGAGGTACCAGAATAGCTTCCGAGAACGACCTAAGAAGTCTCTAGCTCTATAGAATATTTTGGGCAAATCACCGGCCTTCTCCTGCAAGTCGAGGTCCGAGTAGAGCATGCCTACAGTGAACATGGCGTAGTGAGCGGTGTCGACAATATATATAAAGTAGAAGATTAGAATGAGCATCAGGCAGTTACGTGCGCTTCGTGTGCAGCGGGTGAAGGCAAACATGGATGTGTAGATGAGGATGGATCCTCTGAATTCGACGGGGATGGACCATAGATGGAAATTATAGGTGAGCCATGGCGGGGCAGTTGGGCCCGTCGAGCGGTAGACGAAGCTAAATCCTTTGAGTTCCACGTACCAATTCCACACTTCATCGGTCCAGGTTGACTGGTGTTTGGGGTAGGCAGTCCAAATATCAAACATGTGCCACATGGTCAGGTAGAGAAAGGTCGTGCAGATGCAGGGAATGTAAAGGCGCAGCCAGCGGCGAAATAGTGCCGAGGAGAGACTCTCGTTCAACTTGAGGTGTTCACCGGCGTGGAGGAGGGACATTGGCTTCGCGGTCAAGACGCGACCGGATATGACAAAGAAGACAGCGACGGCACAGTGGCCGCCAGTAAAGAGGCTTCGGATGAAAGGAAAAGCGCAAAAGTAGTAGCGATTGTCCCATCCCCAGGAGTTCTCAAAGATGTGTTCGGCAGAAATTCCGACGCGAGCCCAAACTTGGTGGTGTTGCCAGTAGACCATGAAGGCGGCCCAGCCTCGCAAGCCGTCGAGGTAGGCAGTAGGCCCTAGCTTTCGTCGTGGACCGGTTGTCAGCAAGGCAGGCCTCACGAGATCCCAACACCACTTGAAGACGTGAATAGCCGGGCCCATGACAATAGTTGGAGGCTCTGGTGGTATTGTGGTGGGCGAGGGAGAGAGTTGGTGCCGAGCCAGTTCGGGTGGCACGAGAGGCGCCATCTGTTCCATTTGCACGTCGTCCGTCATGGTGGTTGTGGTAGAGGTGGTGAATAGGACGATGTGGAAGGAGCTTCGTGCTGACGATTGAGCAATTGCAGACGGAGGGGCCGAATCGAGAGAGTTTAAAGGTGGTGTGGCCTAGAGGTCTGTCAGATTCGCCAGCAGAGGAGGCTAGAGAGGGTGTTTGAGAGTTGGCAAAGGTGCCGGGGCGAGAGAGCAGGCGGCAAGGCTGTCGGTAGCGCGAATGATGGGCGAGTGGCAGCCTCGGCATACAAGTAGGGAGAAAAGGGGGGAGCAGGAGCAGGAGCATTGACGTGCACAGGAGTCCTTGGACTTTGGGACGACCAAGAGATGTCGTGAACGGCGCCGATCTCTGCCGGGTCTTTGAGTCGTAGCACTAAGCCGTATCCGACGCAGGCAGGCCCAGCATGGCCAGGGCCGCGCAGCGTGACGAGCGTCGAGATAGCGGTGGCGCGGGCTCCTTGTTTCCCAGGCCCCCCACGCCGCCGCCGTGGTTGGACCCTTGCATTTTCCCCTGCTCCCTGACGGCTAGGCCGAGGAAAGGGAGAGGATCTATTGGGGGACTCGTGAGCAGCGAGCCGCACGACGACGACGAGATGGGAGTTGCAGCGAGCAGCACGGCCAACACCCAACAATATCTTCCGGACAGACGACGAGAGTTTCCCGCGGCCGGAGAGGGTGTAGGAGCGAAGAAGAGGTACTGGATCCGGGGGTTTGGTGAGACTAGGCCCGCTACCATCCCACTGGCGACATGCCATGCAGCCAGTAACCAAAAGCTCTGCCCATTTGGACACGATTCCAGTCAGGATCAGGTTGTGCCTGGGACCCTCGGTCTCGAGTCCGGCGGGCAGAGATGTGCAGTCGAGGACATGCGCTTTCTCGAAAGGCGCAGCGAAGGGGATGGGGGAGCAGAGAGAATGTTGCCGGGACGACCCTGGAGGGCAGCTCACATCAAGAAGGCCGTACAACTCGTCAATGCAAGAATATGCAGTCTCTATACATCTTCTGTACGCCCTCGACACTCAGCAATGGTCGCTCACATTGATCTCACCTCATACCTACTCCTTCCGGGTGGTTGCGGAGCTGATTGCCAGGCACAGTTACTGTCTAACTACGTGGAGGTGTCTAGCCTACTTTTGATCAATTGCACTTTGACGGGAGCCCAGTCAAAACTTGGACGATTGTTAGGATCGGCGTGTAATATTTAAATAAGGCTTTTTCAGTATAGAGCATTTTGTGTGCTGGTATCCCTATCCATCTCTGTCTCGACGTTTTCTACTCGTGCTAGGCTATAGCCATTGTGGCCCCTGCATCCGAGTGAGCAGATAATGCGACGGGAAGAAGGACAAAAACTAATACGCTTACACGGTCTAGGCCAAAAGCTTGGAGGTCTAATATTCTCCCATAGCCCAATCCAACGTAATCTAGCACTTCAAGATGTGGCCCACGAGGCAATGATTCAAGACTCTAAAAACCAACCTCTCCGTCATGTCGACATCGTTCCCAACAAAGCCTGACAAGTTTACAATTACAATCGAATGCTTTCTCATGTCAACGGCCGCTGTTCATTGAATATTTCTTTACCCCAGCTGGCCGTCAATTATACACGCCCAAGTACAATGATTACGAGGAGAGTAACTGCATACAAACCATAGCTTTATCACTATGATGTGCTCGACACTATAACCGAGTGGACAATGATACGTGTCTGCTTCATTAGACGTGCATATCGATGGCTGCTCTCTACATCAAGGAGAACACTCCCATCTATACCTGTAGATCATCTAACTACCTGCTAGTAGAATAGCCCTCATTCTGGTCCATCTCATCCTTGTAGAACTGTCCATCATATCACGACACCAACCACATCTTGTATAGATCTCTACAAAATCCAACACAGCTTATCTGATTGGCTGAGAGAGTTCACATCATAACATTAAGCCGATATTCATACGCGACCGAGGACAGAAATCGTGGCATACTAATCCGAGTGACCGATCTTTGTGATAGGTTTGGGAGAAAGCCGGACAGGTTTGCAAGATGATGCAAGTGATGGATACAATTTCGATGGGGGTGACATTACAATTTTTGACCGGAGCAGTTACATGTTGAAGATTATGGTGCACGTCAATACTTTGAATGCGAGAGTGCTGGCGGAAGTGTGGAAACAATGCGGCGTGGTCTGGCTCGTGGTGGTCATCTCTGGTATTGTTTTCAAGGCATGAATATATTGCGTGGGCACAAGGGCTCCATTGGCCGCTATCTATGCCTCCATGTGGCTAAACTGAGTTTATATTTCAGCATCTAGGCTACGCACGTCATCTGCTTCGATTCAAGGGCGGCAGCAGCCGACTAGGATCATATCCAGTGATATGGCCCATTTCATCACACTGTGTGAACTCCATCCGAAGACGCCATCTAAAAAAATTCAAGTTAATTAGTAGGATTTCCTTCTTGTCTGCATCCCGCACTTCCCGCCCGTAACAGTCATACCTGCCAACTGAAAATTCTCAGCTCGGCTGAGAACAATAGATAAGTGCACCGGCAAGCCTCATTGATAGCCGGTTTCCTGCTCTACTTTCAAGTTTCAGAGATATCATCAAGTATAACGCTACTCTTGCATTTCTTCTTAGGACTCGAGAACTCTGGACCCGAATACTTCCTCCGTAGTAACCTCCTTTTCTCCGGCGAAAATTGTCTCTTTGGCTTCAATTGCAAAAATTCGTTTCTTTATTCAGTACATCACCTGAAGCTGAGCTTTGCTTACGAAATGGTTCCCCGTCCATCTGGCCAAGCAGTCCCAGCAATCCGATGGGTAACGCCTCTCGCATAATATATCAACAGGTCCAGCAAGCCGGATGGTCGGAGCCAACGTGGGTAGAATGAAAGTTAATACAATCATCTCATCGTTCGATATTTCGACGAGGCTTGTGGAGCTTCATAGCTATAAAGTCTTTGAGGAGGCGGAATCCAGGTTGAGGCGCATATTCTCGAGGGAAGAGTGCTTGCAAATTCTGCTGCGTCTCAAGATTAGGGAGTATAGATCGACGAGGTCAAATCTGGTAAGTTGGATTGTGTACAGAGAGGTAACGGACCAATCTTTTGGTTCTGATAACTCACTTACAGAATGAGTTACGTGTGGAGGTAATCATGTCAAGTGATGCAGATCTACATTTCATTAACGGCGCACAACTCGCTCCTGTACCCACATTGGACTTGGAGCATGGAGGGCAAGACTGAACATCTGTGCGCCGTGTCCTTTACGAAGCTGGGTGTGAAATATTCTTCCGGAGCCGAGATTCAGTCACGAAAAAGGGTGGCATGAAGTTTATTGGATGCATTTTCGCCCTGAAGGTGTTGCACTCGATATTTTGCTCGAGAAATCAGTCGGCAGAGATTTCACAGCCAGATCAAAGCTGAACAAAAAATAAACACCACCAACAAACGATTCACGAATGGACTTAGGTCAGTATGGAAGTCGTATTCAAACAAACTACATCTCTCAAACTCCTTATATATTTGCGACGATCCATTTCACCGTCGATCCCACATCTGCGACCCGCCCCCATACTCGTCACATCACCTACCTTGACACGCCCTAGTAAGGAAAGTCATGATGGAAGCGGGGCGTGTGCAAAAGAGGAAGAAGAGTGAAGATACACCGAGGGGATTACACAAACCCCCAATGGCGATAACAACCCAACGGTACGATATGAGGGTGCAAAGCTAGAGCAACGATGAAATCTGAGACGACATCTGTATTTCAGAGTCATTAAGGATGTCAAGGGCTCAGGCGCGTGGTGGACGAGGCTGAGGAGGAATTTGCGTCATGGCGTGTATACAGCGGGTTTCTGGACGGTTAGGCTTGGTATGATTCAACACATACCCTGTGGCCACAATCTCAAGTTTTCAGTGGGTGACTATTCTCAACACCTGTCAGTGGTGTCCCCTACGAACCTCCAGCTCTCAGCGTAGAGTCTGCAGAGCCGAGATTGAGTAGCACCTCTTCAACTTTGAGCTGAGTTATCTCCACCTCCGTCAAAGATGCGCTTCCGATAACACACAAGACGACCAAGACGACGATAATGATGCTGGGAATGAGGAGAGATAATGCGGTACCAAACGCTACAACGGTAGTCAGAGAAGCCCTCGTTATATCACAACATGTGCTACCCATCGGCGGGCGAACAAAAAGCCCACGAAGGCAAAGTAATAGACCCTTCCGCCAGCAAAAAAAGTAGATTTCGACTCGTCACAAGTATCGTCCCTACTAATCTATACCTCCGAATCTACTAGCCAGGAGGGCATCTGAAATACATGAGTTACTCGACAACCCCACGTCCGTAACGACTCTTGGATGCTAGGCTAGGCTCCTTCACGACAGTCACTCTCGACCAAAACTTTTCTGACATCCTTTCACGACCTTCGGTTTGTCTTGCGGCATGAATCAAGGGAGGAGTAAGGAGGAGGCTAGGAAGGTTGAGAGACGCTCTTGGGTATACACAGGTTTACTGCGCCCAGCTAGCCGGCCTCTTCGTCACAGGAAAGGCCCGCGCCCAGTAGTTTTTGAGATTTTTCCCCGCAGCTACACACCCATAAATGGCCATTGTTTCGTTGGCTGGAGAGGGGAGATAATGACGGAATAACGGCACCTATTGGTGTGTACTCGAATGAAGAAACGTGGGGGTATTACTGCTGGAAAGAAGTCGTGAGGGAGGCATAGGAGGGAGTACACTACCCGAGGCATAGATACTCCCGGCCTGTAGGGAGAAGTGACCTACATGTCCTTATATAGTTATAGACTCATTAGGACAATAAACACTCACACACTCACTCAAGTTTGCGGTTTATTTAAGTGGGTCGTATTTTCGCTCCAGGGATTAGACCCCTATTAGCGCCTAGTTTGACAGGGTGCATAATTCTTGTCATGGGTTTCAAGGCAAAAACTTAGAAATATCATCATTTGGTCAAAGGCGGCACCACGTACCACGAACGTTGTTTTATCG